CCCCAAAACCCCAAAACCCCAAAACCCCATCATTTATCATAGATGTTTATTCTGATAATTAAAGTTCATAATAAAATAATTAAGTTAGTTAAATATAAATTCATTACTATAATGGATAAAAGACAAAAGTTTTAAATTCTATATTTCATCGCTACAATTTCGGTCTTAATTGGTCTCGTTGATGCAAACGCAGAGGGAGTAAGTTATGATGAAATGGGTGCTGATTGGCATGAAGCTTGTGCAAGTGTAATCTTTTTACAAATAATTATAAAATTAGGGTTCTAATTAATCTCCTATTGACATTCCCTTAAGCATGAAAAGTTCTTCGGCAAATGCCAACAGACTAAAGAAAAACGATAAACTAGATTTAATAGTTTCTTAAGGCATAATGAATAATGTGATAATGAAAGACCTTGGAACAACCTATCAAGTTCCCTTTATAGATGGCGCTTTGGCCTTTTGGGATGAAAATGATGAACTTGAAACTTATTAAATATTACAATTCCATGTGCATGCCCCATCTGAACACACTTTCGATGGGAAATTTTATGATCTTGAAATACATTTTGTTCATAAACACTTCACAGAAGGAGGACTTGCTGTCATATCAGTATAATTCGATGTTGAAGATGGAGGGAACTAAGATAACGATTTTATTACAGCTCTTAGATTAAATTAAAAGAACTTAACCGGATTAAACATCCCTGCAATGAAACTCTTTGAATAATTGGACAAATCAAAACTTTATCATTATTAAGGTTCTCTTACAACCCCTCCTTGTAGCGAAATCGTAACATGGATAGTAGTTCATGACCCTCAACCTATCTCATCAGCTCAACTTAAATATTTAGACGATAAATGGAAAAAGAACTACACTTTTGCACATGGGCATGGCAACAACAGACTGGTACAACCTTTAAATGAGAGATATGTATATATGCGTGTAGATCCCTCTCAAATGGATTCATCACAAATGCTTTGGAATTCTTTCCTATTAATAACTCTATTTTCAGCTATATTAATATTATTTTGAATAAAAATGTTTTTAATGATGAGAGATTGCAACCTTTAGGGGTTTTGGGGTTTTGGGG